CAAGTTAAGGATCTCAAGATGAGATCATCCTGGAATTAGAGTGGCCCTAAATGCAATGTCCTTGTAAGAGACACAGGGGAAGAAAATTGGGAAACACAGGGGAGAGGCCATATGGCCATGTGAAGGGGAGAGGCAGAGATGGGAGTTGTGTTCTATAAGCCCAAGGATGCTGGGGGCTGCCAGAGCTGGAAGAGACAAGGAAAGATTTTCCTCTGGACTCTGCAGAGTGGGCCTGCTTACACCTTGACTTTGGCCTTTGGATCTCTGGAACTGTGAGAATAAGTTTCTGTTGTCTTAAGCCTCCAAGTCTGTGGTAATTTATCATGTCAATTCTAGGAACTGAAGTGGCAGTCCTCATACACTAAGTGAAGCTCTGCACTAGGAAATGGAGAATAACAGCTGAAAGTTTTATATATATACACACACACACACACACACACATTTTTTTTGTTGTTTTGTTTTTTTCTGGCACCAGGAATCGAACTAACGACCTTGTGCTTGCCAGGCAGGCGCTGTGCCACTGAGCTAAATCCCTAGCCCCTTAGAGTTATATTTAACTGTGTTCTTTTGTAATGTCTGTTTGTGTGTATGTGTGTTTCACTTAAGAAATTTCTTCATTTCCTAAGGTTTTAAATATTCTCCTATAATTTCAAGGTTTTTCTTCCTGTTTGGTCTTTAACTGGGATTTATTTTTGTGGGTAGTCTGAATAGGCATCTAATTCTCATATGGGAAACACATTTTCTCAACATTTAAAAAATCTGATTTAATAGTCGTTAGTCTATTAACTGATGTGTCAGATTTTTTTAAGTACTGGAAATTGAACTCAGACCTTCACATTGAGTTATATCCCAGTCCTTTTTTATTTTTTAATTTTGTGACAGGGTCTTACTGAGTCACTGTGATGCCCAGGCTGGATTCAAACTTGCAGTCTTCCTGCCTCAAACTCCCAGAGTTCTGGGAATATACTAGGATTTATTGACTCATTTATTTCTTGAAATTTGTGTTGTTTATAACTTATTATTAAAAATAATGTTATATATTCTTATACATAAATCTTTACATTGTTTTAATTATTTCCCTAGGATATATTCTTGGAAATACCATTACTGAGCATGAACATTTAAAGACTGTTGATATATTTCCTGAAGGTTCATACTAGTTAATACTTCACTACAGTATATGAAGTTAGGATACCTTATTATAGCCACATTTTACTATGCCTGTGTCAACAGATATTTTAAAATTACATCAGGTTGGTAAAGGAAAATGATAGTTTCTAGTCTATTTTATATGTATTTCTTTGGTTATCCATGAGATTAAACTTTTTTATTAACCATTTGATTTCCTTTTTAAAAACTGCCTATTCAAATCAGTCATGGTTGTGCACACCTGTAAGCCCACCACTTGGGAGGCTGTGGCAGGAGGATTGCTATGAATTTGAGGTCAGCCTGGACTACACAGTGAATTCAAGGCCAATCTAAACTACATAGTGAGACCCTGTCTAAAAAAAAAACAAAACAAAAAAACCCAAAAAGTCTGTTCATGTCTTTAACTATCATTTATTTCACAACAGTTGTTTTTTACTTTTCCTTGTGCTTAAGATGCTTTTGGTATATATGATAATTTATGAAAAAAATCAGTATTTTATGTGTCTTCCTTTATTATTTTTATAATTTTTATTATCTTTTTCTATTCTAAATCTGATACTTGTTCACCTAAACTTTTTTTTAAACTACCTTCAACTCTTAATATGTGATTTATTTCATGGCATAATTGAAGCAAAACTTTAAATTTATTTTCACCCTAGTATCTCATAATAATAACAGCTACTCTTTGTTGAGTACTCACTCTATGCTCAACATTGTGCTAAATGATTTCTTTTCGTTAATTCATTTAATCAGTAGTTCTACTGGATACATTTCTCAGTGATTTATGGTTTACTTTTTTAAATATACTGTTTCATTGGTCAACTGATCCATCTATTGATTTTTTTTTTTTTTTTGTACTAGTGATTGAATGCAGGGCCTTTGCATTGAACTATGTCCTCAACCCTTTTTAAATTTTTTTTTTTTTTATTTTAAGACAGATTCTCACTAAGTTGTTACACTGCCCGGGCTGGGCTTGAACTTGTGATATTTCAGCCCGAGCTTCCCAGAGTGCTGGGATTGCAGGTGTGCACCACCATGCCTAGTGCATCTGAGGATTTGTAGGCCAGTAGTCATCATCATGATCATCACCGTCTTCTTCATCATTAGTTAGTTGTTAAAGCCCCACAGATTGAGAAACACTTTTACTACACAGATTCTTTCAGTGGAAAAACTTTACTTGCACTTAGTTCTTTCCTAAAGATTGTGTGTGTGTGTGTGTGTGTGTGTGTGTGTGTGTATGTGTGTGTGTTTAAGAAAAAGCCTTATCAGCCTCCTTTAGGTCTGGATGGTGATGTTTAGAGAGCATGGACAAAAAAGAAATGGCAAAAACAAGAAGTTGGAAGACTCTTTAGGGTGTAGAAAGAAGCCATTAGAGGCCAAGGAGGATACAGAAGGTGCTGGGAGGACATTCTTGGCAGCAGATGGCTGAAATTCCTGTAAGAATATAACCTTTCTGGCAATACTTTACTTTCAGTTGTTTGGGGTATTGCTGTCCCTCTGCTTTTGTAAAAGCACAATCTTGGGGCTCTGACCTTTTGCAGAGAAGGTGTGAGGAGAGAGGATGAAGTGAGGCTGTGCAGTATGGGGGGAACATGTGCAGGACCAGTATCTCCTGCAGTTGACTAATTCGGCTGCAGTGGGAACTTAAAGCCCAGCTATCCCCATGCTTGTTTCCTCTTACAAACCTCCACCCTACCCTTGGAAGGATTGGGAGGACAGCTGGATCCTTTACATCTCACTCTCAAAACACCCACTGACCGCAGTTCACGTCTTAATAGTAATATGCTTTTATATAGTCAATGAGCACTGTACTCATGGTTTTATATCAAGATCTTTCCAAATCAATCACCATAGATATCACCATCTCCTAAAATGAGTGCATAGTGTTCCTACTATGGGACTGTGTTATGATTCATTTAATCACATGATGACATTCTTAAGACATTAGGAACTTTTTGCTTTAGACTAAAAAGTACCAATTTTTGTACCTATTTTTTGCCTGTCTGGTGATTTTTTTAGTGTAAATCCCTTGAAGTGGACAGCTGGTTCACAGATCCTGTACATGTTTACACATCAGATTGTGCTGTAGAAAGACCGTTCCAATTTCTATGCTTGCCAACAATGCCTGCAGGTGCACATGGCCAGAACTTGTTGGTGAGACATGATGGATGCAGGAGCACATTCATTTTTAATATTTGTTTAGGACCAAGAACAAGAGCTATATACTAGAGGGAAATTAATTCACTACTCAAAAGTTCTGATGCAGCAATATGAACCAATTACTTCCCACCTTCCTGAATAACACAATATAGAAGAAATTGTTGTATTTTTCTTGAAGATGATCCAAATAGCAGTCTTGTGGACAGTCTATGGGAAAAGATGTGCATAATAGCATGACATCACTCTAACCAGAGTAATATGGACACATTGTATAGTGTAGCTTTGGAGTTTAACTCTCATATTTTATCTTTGAAAACGGCATCCTTTGAACATGGTACATATGTTCATTTCTTGATTTAGTTTTGGGATTATTTACAGTTAGCTGAATTTTGTGGTTGGATAACTCAAGAGTTTTTGGTGACCTGGATATTGGAAGGCATTTATAATGCATACTGAAATTATTTAGGAAAAGAATAGAAATAAAAAGAGACAGTTAACTATGTTAACTGTTTTGTCACTGTGACAAAATACTTGAGACAAGGAGAAAAAATTTATTTTGGCTCATGGTTCCAGAGATTTCAGTCCATGGTCAGCTGGCTCCATTCTTACTGGGCCTGTGGTGAGGCAGAAACATCATGGCAGAAGTGTGAGGTAGAGAAAAGCTATTTACCTCATGGCAACCAGGAAGCAGAGAGGGTGAGGGTCTATGTAGATGGTCTTCCTCCTGTTTTTGTTTCATTGAGCCCCCACCCTGTTGCATGGTGCTACCTACATTCAGGACAGGTCTTCTTCCTCAGTTTGCTGTCCTACATGCCAGCTGTCTCAGGAGATATCCTTATAGACACACCCAGAAGTGTGCTTTACCAATTTCCTATGTGTTTCTCATTTCAACCAAGTTTATAATCCAGTTTAACCAGCATATTAACTTCCTGCAAAAGTTTGATATCTACACTTGAAATAAAATTATAATTTTACTTATTATAGGAAATTTCAATTAAAATATTTGTGTTCTATTTAGTGGAGAATTCAGGCAATCCAAACCCAATCCTGGGTTAAATTAAGGTTCTGCCAGGCAATCTTTTCTTCTCTTATTTTTAAAAATCATGAAACATAACCTGTATAGAAAAGTGTATAAAGTAAGCATACAATTCAGCAAAAAATTTCAGATGGAAAGTAGAGACCCATCAAGAAATATGGCATATTATTTTTAATTTTCACTTTTCCTTAAAATAATTCTTTCTTAGGGGAAAAGTGATAGAGCCACATGTGAATGACCAGCGGAGAGTGGAAGCCAGGCCAGGATGGGACATTAGGGGTGGTGCAAGAGGGCTAGACCAGGAAGGGGGCAACCAGGTCGTCCTTGTATGCATCTTCATATTGCTTCTTACTATATGTGCTGTTTTACTTCTACTTAAATAAGCATGGGTAAGAGGAGGAAGCTTACTATTCTCTTGCAAGAGAGGGAAAAAGAAATTGGGGCAGTGTGTGTTCACGTGTGTTGAAGGGGCTTATGATAATTCCTGTGTACCGGATAGCTCTGTGGAATTCTCATTAATAAGCAAGATATTCAACAGAGCAAATTTGCAGTAAGTTGAATTTAAAGGATCCAAAGTGACTTCTGTTGTATCATATTCTCTATTGTCTTTGTGCATTGTGCATTGTCAATAATATTTTTTTCTTTGCTTAAAAAGATTGCTGAACTGGATGAAATAGAATACCTTGAAAGTCTGCCTATCCTTCGAATTCTCAATCTTCTACGAAATCCAATTCAGGTGAGAGTAATCATTTCTATATCTGGGGAGGGGAAAGAGAGGAGGAGGATTCTGGAATTTTTTTGTCTTCAAGAAGTAATTTGATAAAGAATATCAAGCATGTGAATACAGTTTTTAAGAATCTTTTTTCTCTGTTAGGAATCAACTAGAAGAATTAAGTAAATACATCTTGTTTTTCAAGAAATCAGATCTTCTTTATGACTAACAAGCTATGTAATGGCACCACTGTCAGTTAGAGTAAAGCCTAGTTGAATGTCATTTACCTGCTCTGTGTGGTCATTTAGGACTCACCTCAGATGGCGCAAAAGATTACAGGAGGGAGCTAATCAGACTGTAGAGCAATGTTCTTTCACAGTAGAAAATAATAAGACTGCAGAGGTATAGACAGAATATGGTACCTATTTTACAACAGGGGAAAGAAAGTGTAAGATTAGATATCTAACATAATTTGCCTAGATATAGCCATGAAATTGGCAATTAGCTCTATTATAAAATAAGTACTTACAGAGCCAATTTATATGCTGTCTATTACAGTAGTGATGGTGAACCTATGTCATGTATGTCATTTGTTTTTAAGACAAAAGATGTTATTGTGTGACTTGTATTTTCTAAATTAAAACCTCAGTATTCAGGTTTAATTGCAGTGTTGGCACTTTGTGATAAATAAGTGGGTTTTGGGTTGCAGTTTGGGTACTCCTGTCTACCAGATTCACCATCATTGCCCTAGTGGTTTCTAACTTCCTGTGATTTAAACTTCAGGGATATTTTTCAGGTTTCTCTGTTTTTCTCTATTAATAAATCCATTGGCCTGGCCTCCTTCCTTCCCTCTTTGTTTGTCTTAATTACTTTTCTCATTCCTGTGACAAAATACCCAACACCCAAAGTTAAAGGAAGAAAAGTTTATTGTAGCTCACCATTTGTAGAGGTTTCAGTTCATAATTGACTGGCTCCAAGGCAGGGTGGCATGGCAGAGAGGCATTGCAGAGGAGAAACAGTTCATGGAGGGCAGAAGGTGGCAAAACAGCAAAGTAGCAAGCAGCAATGGCAACAGCAGCCCTCTTTCTGTCCCTTAGGGCAGGTAGCACTCATACCTAGAGTGGGGCACCCTTAATCCTAGCATTGCACCATGAATCAATCCCAGTGTCATATCCCTAATCTCAGTGTAACACACCCTAGATCCTGCCACCTCTGAAAAGCCCCACCTATGACCACATGAAGCTTTGGAGGACATCTAGATACAAACTATAACACTGTTTATCCTTCATTCCATTTCTCTACCTGTATCCTCCCACAGACTACATTTTTCAGTACCTATCTCTTGTGTATATCTGGATTCCAGATAGGAATAAAAATTTAAAAATAATGGTTGGTAAGAGAATAGTGGCAGGCAATTTAAAGCATCTTTGGAAGTTAAGGAACAGGGCTTACTGGCCTCATTACATCCCAGTTTTAGATCCATGGAAAGTATTCATGCAGACACCTATGTAAACTGCACAAACCCTTGCATGTATGTTAACACATCATATATGAAGCATCCAACAACATTTATATGGGGAAGTACATAAAATATACTTTTAAAAGTTTAAATTCATACATACTAATTGTATAGATTCAGAGGGTGTGGTGTGATAATTCAGTACATGTGTACAATGTGTAATGATCAGATCAGGGTATTTAACATTTCTACCTCCTCATTTCTTTGAGTTGGGACCCTAGATAAAAAATATATATTTGTCTCATGTACGTTCTCATCTGTGAAAGGGAGCATCCACTAATATTTTGCCCTTCTAAGAGATGTAGCTTTGTAGTAGAAAAAGTTACAGTTTTAAAAAGCAGGTAACCCTAATGTAGCAGATGGTACGGAATAATAATTTGTTTTACAAATAAATATAATTGTATTATTGTAAGATTCATAGTGAATGATACAGATTAATACAAAAGAATACAAAAAATAAATAATAATAAATAGTAAAGTCTCCTCATTTGCAAGAATAAAACTCTTTGGCATTAGAAGTCAGAATTTGAGTTCCTATCCTTGGAATTTAGATAGGAGACGCTTCATGTTTCTGAGGCTTAGTTGTTTTTCTCTTTAGAAATGAGGATAATCCTGCCTACCCTGCTCAACTCATAGGGAAATTAATAAGATGTGCACATTTGAAGGGCTTTCTAAATTACAAGGCACAGTTTGCATCTGAGTTGTTAATTTAAGGGGAGGGGTAAGCATGCAAATGTAGAGACCTAGGAGGAGTGTGGGGATGGCAGTGAATGGCTGAGCTCATGAGAACATCATGCTGGTGCTCGTGCACTGGGAAAGGAAGGCGACTGAATGCTCTTCTTGATATTTTAAACAGGAGAAATCTGAGTACTGGCTCTTTGTAATATTTATGCTACTGCGATTAACAGAATTAGATAAGAAGAAAATTAAAGTGGAAGAAAAGGTATGCAGTCCTGTCATTTCATGTGTTTATGGATTGATATGCTTAAAAATTCATGCTGCCTGCTGTGGGACCAATATAATCAATCAGTGAGATGCGTGCCAATCTATAAATTAATTCTTTATTTTAGGACTGGTTCCTCATCTTAGGCTAGGGTCTCAGTTGAGCCTTCTGCAAAGCTGGGCACCTATCTGGATGTGATGATGCACATCTGTGATCTCAGCACTTTGGGAAGCTGAGACAGGAGGATCCTAAGTTTGAGTCTTACCTGGGCAATTTAGCAACTCAGTGAGACCCTGTCTCAAAATATTAAATATATAAAGGGCTAGAGATGTAGTTCAGTCCAAAGGCCCTGGGTTTGATCCCTAGTAACACACACACACACACCAGGGCATCAGCGTCAACACAAATGCAGTGGAAGACCCGCCATTGGCACAGTGGAAAGCTTAATAGTGAGGGATGAAAAGAACATTCCTTTTATCCTCTTATCAGGTCATGTTGTGGCAGACCAGCAGTTTGGATGACTGTCCTATTGAGAGGGTATATGATTCTGTGTTACTTTAAAAATTTGTTTGACAATCAAATGTATTATAATGTCATTCATTATACCATATAATGTAAAGGTACTTAAATAAGTCACCTCTCTGATATTTTAAATCCTTTAATTTTGCCCTTTAAAATAATGATGCATTTGGTCACAATTTCAGAGTAACCAGATCTTGAATGTTAGGATACACCTCTGTCCCTGTAGCAGTGGTAGCTGCTTTGTTGTCCCTTAGTGGCTGATGACAGCTAAAATCCCAACTAATGAGGGATTTCTTACACTGGATACAAATTTGAGATAGGAATCAAAATAAGTATAAATACGTAGAAAGGCACATATTCCTTCTCATGGATGCCTTTCTGTAATCTTAGTTAAAAGTAGATACAGATGCTTCCTTATTATTTTTCTCACACTCAGAGGCACTTAGGTTTCTCTTTTCCTTTAACGTTTTGCAAAGGAAATAAGAGTTAAACCATATATTAATGAAAGGTGTGGTAGTCGAGGATAATGTAGCTGGGGGGGCTACCAAAGACAAAGAAGTGTATATTGTGAAGAAAAGACCTCTACAAGCTGTGATTAAAGAAATGCATATTTAAAATTTAAAAATTATTAAAAGACACATTGTCATTAATCCTCTTCAATATGCTTCTCACTTCTAACATACCCCATCGTTCTTGCCACTTTCTGAAGCAGTTCTGCCAGTCCTTTTTTATGAGTGGCTTTGATTGTATCATCATGGCTGTCCTATGTCCTCAATCAATTTAAAACATTTGTCCTCATGATCATTTTGACATTGTAGAAGAACCAGAAGTCGGATGGTGCCAAATCTGGTGAATGAAGTGGGTGGGACACTCTGAACATTTTTATTTAAATGTTCACCATATGCTTTGATCTTACTTTATATCCTTGATTAGAGAAAGTTAAGCTAAAAGAAGTTTGGGTAGGATGCAAAATCATGGGAATAATTCTTGGTGAGACAGTAGGAGAAAAAAATTCCCCAGGACCAACCACCTAGAATCTAATAAATTCTACTCCCTCTTCTACTACAAATTGGAAAGTTTGTTATATTAAAAGTAACCGTGAACTTCAGGATTTCTTTTCCCCCTTTCCCTTTTCAAATGAGGGAATATAAAGAAGTAAGGGATCAGAGGACTCCACTCAATATTTTAAAATAATTATCATTATTTACTTTTTAAGAAAGTTAGAGCTGATGTGAAAACCAAATACAAAGTCTCATGGTTGTGTGTTAAATTATTTTGTATATCTAGTTAGTTGTTTGTCTTCACTATTTCATTAAAGAAAACCTAAGCATTGTCTGCTTTTTAGAAACAAATCATTTTTCCCTTTTACTCTTCCACTTCTGGAAAAGGTGGCAGCCGTGAATAAATATGACCCTCCCCCTGAAGTGGTTGCAGCCCAAGATCACCTGACCCACGTTGTCAACAGTGTGATGCAGCCACAGAGGATCTTTGACAGGTATTTATTATTGCTCCATGGAGTACACTCAGGAGCAAGCAGAGAAAAATCTCATCATGTTCTTTAGTCCTCTGTTTTGTGTTCTTTAGTTTCCTATAAATGCTACTTTTGCACCTTCTTTGAGGGGGGCCCAGTCTTTATATGGAAGACTGTATTATCACAGTCATGATATGTTACCGCGTACTAGAATGTGCTGCTTACTCACTCACTGGTTGGTGTTTTCCCAAGCATGGTGATGAGCTAATTGATCTTCATTCTTTCATCTGCCCCCCTTGTATATTGGCTGTAGGGAGCTGCTGAGGCTGGAAATTGGTCACATGTTTGGGGGCAAGGTAAGGCCGGTCTGAGGAAGAGCACCAGAGGCAATCAATCTGCTTCAGTCCAGAGAAATACCTTGTCTGAGACATGCCCAGCCATTAGTTGCCAGGCAACCCTGTGTCACATGACTCTAACTTTGTCAAATGTATAAATAAACACCCCTATGGTGGTTGAACAGTTCCTTTCCTCCCATCCAGAGAGAGAGGGAGATTCACCTGACCTCAGCTTTTCGTCTCTTATCTTTATTTCTCCATCCTCTTGCTGTGCCCCCCACCCCCACATCAAGAGCTGTGTGGGATGCAGCAGTTGGCTAGCTTAAGCCATATGACAGTGAAATCTTTAAAAAGTTTGTCAACTTTTCTGCCTTAGGAAATTATCACAGACAACCTCATTAACGGAAAATGGTGATCATTCATATCCATTATAAATCTTCCCTTGGGTGTGAAAGAATGCTAAATACCCCAGCCAAAGAGCATTCTGTGAATTCAGATTATTAGGGAGTCCCTAGAAGGAAGCCTAGCTAGCTTCAGGGAAACCTGAAATAGTCATTGCACTGAGCTACAATCAACCCAGCAGGGAGGAGTGGCCCAGCTTGGGTGAACACATGAATAGAGTCTCTCACCTCTAAATTTAAAGACAGATTTACCACGGTTTCTTCGTTTCTTTTTAAACAATCTGTTCAAGCAGATGGCCATTTATGCTATAAGTATAATGCAGAAATTCTATCAATACCCAAAGGCACTTTAAAAATACTTGTAAAACTCTTAGATATAAATGGCTTTTCTTCTTCATGTGGTATTTGCTCCTGTACTTCACCTGGTTGGTTTCCCACAGAGAGCAAAATGTTTTATTTTGCAATCCAAGACACGAGTTTTACATATAATTTAATAATGTAGACATTGAGAGTTTTATATGTATATGAGATCCCTCTAGGTAAAATGATTTATCATTTATTTGCATACATCTGGAAAAGCACATTTGATTTAAAAGAAATATATTTATGTCCTCATTGTATTTCTTTTTTAGGTTTTTTTTTTTTTTTGGTTTTTTTTTTAGACAGGGTCTCACTATGTAGTTCAGGCTGGCCTTGAACTCATTTATGTGGCCCAAGCTGGCCTTGAACTCACAGTGATCCTCTTACCTCAGCCTCCCAAGTGCTGGGATTACAAGCATGCACCACCACACCTGGCTTTTAGTTAATAATATTGGTACTTGTGTCATGCTTTAGGGTGCATTTGTATAAAAACATGTATCAAAAATTTGCAGCAGTGTTTTGATAAATGTGTATTTCTTGATTATTTCTGGCTGTCAAACAAATAAGAGCAAAGGCCAAGCAGGCCTGGGTGTTCCAGAGTGGAGCAGCACTCACAGTTCTAGATCAGTAGCTGGCCTGCAGGCCTGATATTCCACTTCCCATTCTGGGCCAGCACACAGCCCTTTAGCAACACCAGAAGTCAGGTTCCATTTGTTTTGACTCTTGACCTTGTGAAATGTATGTTTGGTTATTGGAGAATCCCTGGCCCCACTTTTGGCATGACTGGGGCTAGGACACCATCATAGAATGACACAGACAAACTTTGACTGGCCTGGTACCCATTCATAGTTTCCTTGCTCTTTGGTGTGACAAGCTTTCTCAAACTCATCTTGTATGTGTTCTGTCCCAAATCTAGAATTAGCTATTTCTCCAGGAAGCATGGCTTTTTGTGAGAAATGATAATTCTTAGTTTCATTCTAAGTGCTAACGATACTCGTTGCTGCTGAGTTGGTGATTATTTCTAGGCATTTAGTGAAAAGAACTAACATTCTTTTTTGTTTATCTACCCACCCACTAGATAGAAGTGTATCTATATAGCTGTATTTATCTATATAGCTGTATTTATCTATATATCTGTATTTATATATCTGTATCTATATGATCTGTGTTATCTACATCTATCTCATTTAGTTACTTCTCTATGTCTGGATAGATCTACCTAGAACTCCTGAATTCATAATGGTACTTAGAATTAAATTTCAGGACAACAGTTGAGCTTTTATCTGGCCTTCTGTCATATTGCTATTTTCTTTTCTCCCACACAAAGAATCCTGATTCTCAAGCACACAGAGCAAGATAGAATTGCAAAATCCAAGAATTACTTGTTTTCTAAAGCTCATGTTATATCACAGTGGTATCAAAATACCAATACTATTACTCTACACGTTCAACCCCTTCCCCTGCTCCCAGCCCCGGTATCCTCTTATTTACCCTTATAACACTGTCAGTGTTTATGAATTTGCCTATTCCATATATTGTACCAACCATCCCTTTTTAAAAGTAATGTACTCTACTTTTATTGTCAAAACATATAGCTGTCACATACTATACTTTGTTCTTCTTTGTTCTTAGTTCTGATTAGTCTAGGACAATTACATATTTATCATTCATGAGTACTTTTACTGGTGTCTGTTGGGTCATTTTAGTTGTGCAAAGCTTGTTTTCTAAAGGATTCTTTAGGAAGGGCTATAAGCTCATTCTTACACATTGATAGTTTGTGTTCTTCATACTTGGAAGTCATTTCTGCTAAATATAGAATTCAGAGCTCACACTTGCTTCCCTTGAATATATTAAAGATGTTGCTTTATTTTCTTTTGACATAAAACAGTGTTATCAAAATCTGATAATTTGTTTTCCCGTGCTGTGTCTTTGTAGTTTATTATTTTTTTCTTTGAAGTCCAATAATTTTACTAGATGGTATCTTAGTATTAGTTGTTCTGAGATATTTTAGGTGTAATATATGCCCCTTTTTGTGTAGTGGGTTTTTTTTTAATTTTAGGAATTTTTTCTTGAATTAGTCTTTAAAATTCTCCTGTTCCTCTGCTTTGATTTTCTTTAGGCAAATTTCCTTTGCCTATTTTCAGTATTTGTCAATTTCTCTCAAATGTTTTTTTCTCCTTAGGCAATTTTCTTAAACAGAATTTATTTTGAGATAATTACAGATTCACAGGCAATTGTAAGAAATAATACTGAGAAATTGTGCATAGGTTCCACCAAGTTTTCCCCAACGATGATCTTATATAACTTTAGTTACACATCAAAATTAACAAATTGACCAAGAAATCTACCAATCTTATCAGATTTCACTAGTTTTTCGTGTACTTGTGTGTGCCTTTAGTTCTCTTTAATTCTATAATTAATTCAAATTTAATACATAGGTAGATTCATCTGAGCACCACATTCATGATACAGAGCAATTTCCTCTTAAGGATCCCTGGTGAGGCCCTTTAGTAGCCACAGTACCTCTTTCCCTTTCATCTTTTCTTACCCTTGGCAACCATGAATCTGTCCCCATCTCTATAATGTGGTTATTTCAAGAATGCGATATAAATGGAATCATACATATAACTTTTGGCAGTTGGGTTGTATACCCTCACTTAACATAATTCTCCAGAAATTCACCCAAGTTGTTGCATGCATTGACAGTTCATTCTTTTTCTTATTGCTGAGTAGCATTCCACACGGTGAATGTATCACAGCTAACTTAACCATTTACCTGGTAAGGCTGTCTGGGTAGATTCCGGTTTGGGGCCACTGCTAATGAGCTTGCTATGGACATTCACAAACAGATTTTGCACATGCACAGTTTGAGCCTGTCTGCACCTCGCAAGTATCCAGTGGCTGTTGGGGTTCCCCGACCTCAGATCTGCCAGGTGCTGCCCTGTTGTATCTTTGGTACAGACTCCAGGACCAGGCAGGCGTTTTGGGGTTTTGTGTTCCTGGTGATACCTTTTCTTTCATCTGGTTTTGTTATACGTAGGTTTTCCAAGGGCTCTTGCTCTTAAGTTTTTGTTTTTATGTGGATGTTGAGAGATACTGGATAATGTGCTATTTCATACTTTTCACAGAACCTTCACTGAATCCACACCTCAGCCATGTATTTAAAAATATCTTGTTTTAACTGGCTTGGTGGTGCATGCCTGTAATCCTAACACTCTGGAAGGCTGAGGCAGGAAGATTGTAAGTTTATCCCAGCCTGGGAAACTTAGTGACTTAGTGAGAACCTGTCTCAAAATAAAGGAAAGAAATAGGGGTGTGTATGTAGCTCAGTGTGAAGGCCTAGATTCAATCTCCATCACTACAAAAAAATTTATTTAGTAATTCTACAGTTTGTTTTGTGAGTGGAGCCCAGACACAATAGCTTAACATGCAGGGGATTTTGTGAACTTCATTTTTTTAGTTCGGTCTTCAGGCGTGGAAGCTAAGCCTAGAATTGCATATAACTCTTCCTTTACTTTGAGCAAGTTAATTAACCTTTCTGTACTTCAGTTTCTTCATGTGCTAAGTAGAGATAATGACAGACATATCTTTACTAGTTTCTTATAATTAAATAAGGAACTACACGCAAAACTCCTAGAATAGTGCCTGGCGCATAGTAATTACTTGGGTAAATTTTAGTTGCTACTATTGTTTGTTTTGCACACCTACATTCTAATGTCATGGGTATGAATATTAAACATGAACATTCAGAGAGCAGTCATGTCTTTTACTGGTAAGTTCTGAGACTACTTCAGCAATCAAGAACTAATCTGACCACGTTTTCCTTTAAAAATGTACATAAATTTGCATTTTCCCTTGCTACCTGTGCTTTGAATATTTTTTTTTGATAAATACAATCAACTTGTTCCTGGAAAGTTAGGCCTATCCTTCTCCAGCGCCTGGGTGCAGCAAGTGCTCATTAACTATGCTTGTGACATACAGACTTGGTCAAAGGGCTGTAGTTAACACTCTGCATCTCTGACAGGCGCGGACAGTAATTGACTGGTCCTGTGTTGCAGCACCCTTCCCAGTTTGGATGCCCCTTACCCCATGCTGATACTAGCTGGGCCTCAAGCCTGTGGGAAACGAGAACTTGCACACCGCCTTTGCAGACAGTTTAACACTTACTTCAGATATGGGTAAGTTTGTGTATTGGCGTGCAAGCCTCAGAAATTCTTCCAAGTTGTTGTTTCCTGATAAAATCTCAGATATTCCTAATTTTGGCTCACAAATATACAAAGCGACTTGTTTAGGATGCTCCTGCCGTAGAGCTAGAAGTGGTAAGTTAATTGAATGCTCAATAGATATGAACTCTGGGTAAGGACAGAGCATCTGAGAGTGTTAGTCCTTGAAGGTTATTTATTGATAAAATCAGATCAATGTGATTATCTAGTCTTAGAAATACTAGGAATCCTGATTCTCCTGTCATTCTAATTGATGTGGTAGAGATGCTTGTTAAAGTGTACTCCTCATTACAGAAGAACTTAGCAAGTAGCAAGAATTAAAATAGTTTACCTTTTGTGAACCAGACAGTAAACACAACAGTGACCACTATATCAGACAATCAAATAAATGGGTACATCTATGCCATGGCTCATCTTTTAATAAGAGGTTTAAGCTTCTTTTCTATTTATTATATTTAGTGTGTATGTGTATTTTTTTTACTTTAAGTCTCTTTATGTTTAGCATAATTCAATGCCAGCCCAAATCCCTCTACAGGGTTTGAAAATACTCAGCTCTTTAATTGAGCAGAATAGTGTTTGAAGGCAGGAGGCCTCTGCTGTTGTCTTACGGCGTGACAGCATGTGTCACAGTGCACCGGTGGGTGGCACTGTGCTCCAGGGGTACTCCAGAGCCTCTTTCCTGCTCTGCCTGGCAGATATTCTGGCAATGCTTGAGCTGCTGTGTCACCAGAACGACCTTGCTCTTCTAAGGTACATTTCAGAAGGAAAGACAGAATAGGGGCAGCAAAAGTGTTTCCTGTCTTTTTCCTCAGAGAAGCAGTCAATACACTCAAGTTTTCTCGAGCAAATATTGTGTTGAGTGATTCCCTAATGGCCCTGTTAAAATAGAAAATAGTATCAGGAACACTAGTACCATCCAAGGAAACTGTCCTGCTGGATTTACAGATTTTTTAGAGGTATTTGGAAGTCAGATTTAGAATTGTCACTGCATTCTCTTAAGTGGGTTTCCTCTTTTATTTTTTATGTGTGAAAAAAGAATTACTTTTAGATTAGTGGTATATGTTGATGAGCTGAGGCTGTGACTACAAAGATATATAGGACAGCAAGAAAAATCAGTGCAAACTTTTCTAATACTGTCGCAAAAAGCCCTTCCCTTAAACCACACATGTTCAAACAACAGAGTTCTTAGTGGCTGTTACCCACTTTACATTTTATTTTTCATTCATTTAGATATTTAAAATTGCAGCCCACATTTGGACAACTCTTAAGATGTACATACTATAGCATAATTTGATTAATGTATTTTAAATACCTGCAAGAACAAAAATAAAAGTTAATACTAGAAATTAAAAAGTCTACAGTGCATTATGCTTATATGGAGAGACCTAACCTGTTTTCAAAGATAAGCTGAATACAATGAATAGAAGGTCAAACTAGGGCAAAAGGGTATGTGCTGACTATTGTGCTAATGTGTAAATCTGCAACATGTTAACCACCAAAGTGACTTAGGAAGCTATGGTTTTCTCTGTTTGTTTTTCATATCTCTGATACCAGTTATGTTGCTAATAGTTGGTAGTCCAGTCCTTTTTATTTGCTTGTGCTGTGCTACTGCAGGGGCATGATTGGTCTGATGTGTTCTTGGAGGTGTTTGTTGAATCACCATCAAGATTCTGGTCTAATTGGCCTCTACATTCTTATCTGCGCTTCCCTTACTCATTTTCATTAAATCCTGCGTTTTCCTTATTAGAAAGTTCATCTATCATGCTTTGACTGATTTATTTCATATCTTTTTTCCCTGCTCATCTGTAGCCCCAGTGAGGGTGGAAGCAGCGTCAACCTTGTTTACCATTTGAGTTTTCAGTGCCAGCAGCTGGCCAGGCACTAAATATATGTGTGGTGAATATCTGTGAAATGACTGAGTGAGTGAATGGCTGAATTAATGGTACCATGTGCAATACTTAGTGAACATAGCTGTGATAAGAGGTATAGATAATGTTCCTGATATATATGTATATATATGGGGAACTGGATGGATTCCTTCATTCAATAAATATTTATTGAGTTCTACCCATGTGCTTATCTGTGAGGATAGAGTAGAAACAAGGCTAGTGAGGTCCTTGCTTTCATGAAATGTGTAATCTGGTGGGGAACTCAAACCTTAGATAATTAGTGCTGTGTAGTTTGTGTGGTAGCCTGAGATAGCAAAACAAAATCTTACAATGAACCCCACGTCCTGTACTGTCAGTGCTGCTTCAGGGATTTTTCTCCTTTGGCTGGAATTAGTGGTGAATGGAAAAATACTCCTGACTGCTCCCTGCTGATTGCATCTTCACTCATCCACCGTCCTCACAGGCTCTGGAGTGCCGGCCCCGCACTCATTGCAACCCTTACGGAGGCAGAGACCAGGGCTTGTTTTGGGGTACACATCATTCTGAGATTTCTGTCAAGGCCTGGGGCAAAGACCATGTCCCTGGGTTAAAAAAAAAAGATGTTAGATAGCTAGTAATTTCATCCATTGAGAAAGTGAGAGAGTTCTCCCATTATATGCAGCAACTTTCTAATTAAAAGTGAAGATAAAACCAAAGCACATCTTCAGTGGCAAGGTAATGCTTTTGTTTAGACTTTCTTTTTAAATTCTTTATCCAACATAAGTTTTATTGATTTTTAATTAAATGAAAGCAGGCATGGATATGGTCTCATTGTGAAATATAAAACCATTTATAAAGGCATTTTCCCTGCCAGTTGCTTGAATATTTTCCTCCTCTTTATTTTCTCCTGGTGTTTTACTTCCTTTTTAAATTACACTGACTGAGGATCCAGACATTCAGTAAAATTTCCACACTCTAAGTTACATATCCAGATAGATAAATAAAAACATAATTCAGTCGTATAACAAATAGTGGTGTGGCTGAGAAATTCTGCTCTAGTTGTAGGTTGTGATTTTACTATTTGTTCTTGTTTTTAGAAATAGTTTGGATGTTCTTTTTTTTTACCTCTATTAGTTATGAGTGGCCTGGAGATGCACATTTATTGCCTTCAGCGCTTGTCTATTTATGTCTAACTTTATATTACCACACAAATCAGTGGCTTCTTGGAAAAGTACTGTATAATAACAGTACCATGAAACAATACCAGCATGCCTGTTAGTCTTCTAGATTTATGACCGTGTTACTGATCTGAATAGTCCTGAAAGAAAACCTTTATTCTTCCTCAAATCTATTTTATAGCAATCTCTATTTTTATTACTTTCTCATGATGTTGACTACTACATTTTACTTTTAGCATTATCATAAAGTAACTGCATTATAATAAAGTGGTTACATGAGGTCATATGAGGTGTAGGAACCTAAATACAGTCTTCTCCAATTTGTCTATACAAATATAATGAACTTGAAGAATAAGCTCACTTACTCATTCAGCCAATATTTATTGAGCACTGTCTATGTGCCATGTGCTGGTGATAAAACTAAAATGGACAGACATGGGTTCTGTCCTCCTGGAAGCTTCCAATCAATCTGGTATGGGGTTTAGAGAGGAATGCTGTCTAACAAGATAGTGTACAATTATGAGGAAAGTCAAGAGTGATCAAAGTGGAAGAGAAACAGGATGTGGAGCTTGAGTAGGGTCACATTCCTCACAGAAAGCAGCAGGCAGGTTTCATTAGCTAAGCACATTCATGGTAGCATGACTGCACTTGAAGTATGATGGGAAATGCAGAAGAAAAGTTTGGAAAGATAGTCAGGGGTCCAGTCACAAAGGGCTTTTAAGGAGAATGGGACTAGGAGGTATGATAGACATTGTGGAACGAAAGGAAAATACTCAAAAGTAAAGGGCATCTGGGGTGTGGGAAAAGAGAAGTGGGAAATTATGTAAGTATGTATATACAGGCTAGCTAACATAGTTGTACTACTGTCTTCTATTGCTGTACAGAAAGGAACAGTTAATGATTACTTGTTTGATCAATCCTGCTTGTCTCTATTTGTTTTCCTGAGAAACCCCTTTGAAGATATCAATAAGTAATACAACAACCATGGTTAATTTCCTACCATTTTGTCTGTAACTCTGTTTTGTTTGTATTGTTCTTATGCTATTTTGTAAATGGATATCTGTCTGTTAATACGTTTTCCTTCTTTTATTTTTTAAAATTAAAAAAAAAAAGGAAAATGGGATATTCTCACTCACATTTTAGAGAGTATTCCGTCAGCAGTTAGGACAGGGCTTGCAGAAGGAAGGCTAGAGATAAGACGATAAGCTAGAATATAGTGACAGGAGGTGAATGCCAGAGTTGGGAGGTAAGGTGTAGTTAATGGCACATGAGCAGAGTAGGAGCTTCATGAAATCTGATATGCAGACATAGTATGTGCGGGAAATCCCTGTGTTCATGGCCCTTAAATTGTGTCCGGCAATTTGTTAATGTATACTTGCACTGAGTGTTAAAACCAATTTAATTTACCTATCAGATGTTCTAGAAATACCTGGGCTTCTGTGGGTACCTTTGACAAAGCTCACTCACAATATGGTGTGTTGTAATGTGCTTGGGTTCATATGTGCGCACCACCAAGCCTCTGTCTAAATATTGGTAGTATCAAGAAATGCAGTGTTTCCTGAGGCAATCTGGTCCCAAATTGAGATTCTAAATATGCATGCTTCTGAATCACACTGAAAAAAGAAATCTACTTCCTCTTCCACTTGCCAGCTGTTCAGATGTCTTTTCTTCCTATTACATTTCCCTGGATATTTGAGCATTGCATTTTGGGGGCCTGTTTATCCAGATTCCTTTTACTCCTGGTCATGTCCTTTCCAGGGGCTTTTTTCTTATAACATTAATGACAGTCCACAATTAATTGGCCTTTAGAAGGTCTCAACTTACTCTTAGACTTTTATTTAGGACCAGAGTTGCAGTCTAGGTTAGTCTCCAAATCAGTCCTTTGGTCTATTAAGTAAAACCAACAGGAAGCCTGGCTTCTGTTACAAAGTCAATTGATATTGACTTTGATTTACCTAGTAAATTAATTAATAAAGAACAAGCTCATGGATATATTCAGGCAAAGGAGGGGAAGAATATTGAAAGTATGGTTCAAATAAATTTGTCTGAATTTAGCATCAGTTTTTTCAAGTAAGTTTGGTGAAACATTGCTTTTACTGTGAACTATTTCTTTGAAGATATTCACAATTGGGCAGTGTACTACACAATAAACATTTCTATATCTGAAAATTGGATGACAGATTCAAAAGAACCACAGGGCATCTTAGGTCCTTCTTAGTAGAAAGTTCTACACAGTTGCAGATTCTGTCATCAACCGTCTCCACATTAGTGGAGCCATATTTTGTTTATCTGCCTAGATGCTTCAGATTGCTTCTTTGTTTTGTGTTCCTTTTAAAAATTCTGAAAAAGTGCCTGCTGCTCGATTCCTTCGTAGGAAATGTAAATTCAGTGTAGCATGTAAAGATTGTGTTAAGGGTTCACAGCACAGGATACCAGGCCACAGACTTATCTTCCCTAACTGTCACAGACACCAGTAGACGGAGGGTCTCAGGTCTTTGCCAAGGCAGGGGAAGGAAAGCCTGTGCAATCAAACCACAAAGCAAGGGTCACAGTGTTTCGACAGTCTTCTCAAAGGATGTATACTGTCTCCAGAGTATACAGTTTAAATGTAATGTGAGGGCTTGAAAGTGTCCTAGTGCCATTAATTCTTGATTGTAACAGAAGGAGAACAGTCATGTGAGATATAAATATTTGCCTTTGATTTTATGATTGGTAGGTTTTGAGACTGCAACTTTACCGTCTTAATTAGCATGCTATTAAAAAGAATTTATGTTGGAGTCATTCTGGGATTGTTACTTAGGAACATACGTAATTGTTGTGCCTCAGTTTCATCATCTGTAAGATAGAAATAAAAAATAATATCTGCCTCATAATTTTTTTTTAGTATATGTGCTGCCGAAGCGAGCACTGCCTCATAATTTTTGTGAAAAATAAGTGACATGTCAAGTGTTTAGCTGTTCTCATCCCTTATTTTAAAATCACAGTGTAATGTAAAAATCAGTTTGCAGTACCAGAACTTAACAATGGGAAGGCAGAATATTATGAAATCAGGAGTCCTGGATAGCAGGGACCCTGTGTTCTAGTTCTGGGACTAGGCCCAGGCTTCAGTGTGACTTTTGGCAAGTCACTTTCATAGTTTTCATTACAATGGGGTTCTGAGCTGCTGTGAGCCACTTCCTGTCTTTCATTTTTATCCACTTTATAGTTATTTAGTGAATATCTGCTATATGTCAGGCATTAGGAATATAAGATGAACAAGACATGGGGGGTGGTAGGCCAGGATGTCTGTCGAAGACATCATGATCTCATGATTTACATGTTCTGGAGAGTATAGAAAAGATCTATATGAAAGAAGACAGTTCTGGTAATAGAGAGTAGTCAGGGGTCTTATAGGGTAGGGATGTTATTTTAGACAGTGGATAAAAAAGACCTTTCTGGTTGAGTTGAGAATTCCATTCAGCATTTGACTTGTAGATTCCCATAGAAAGGTCAAGTGTAATACTAACATGCCCTGCAGCACAGGGTGAATGACAGGTCTCTGCCTCAAGTTTTGGAGGAGATGGAGCTCTGAATGATCATTAGACTGCAGCTGGCACAGACGGAGACCAGGGTTGTATGCAGAGGTGAACAATGCAGCCATAGGAGCCCAGCAAAAATGTTGGGAGAGGTGACAAATTGAGTCCTGCAAAACAAGTGGGCCAGCAAGGTGGAGAGGGAGGAGGAGGCCTGCAGAAAATACTCACAGAGCGGAGAGAACATGAAAGCAGTTGGGTGAGTGATGAATATTGTTGTACTTTTTCAACAATTATGAGGTAATGGCAGAGGGGGTGATTCAGATGCAATAAATAGCACTGAGTAAAAATTTGATACTGTTCATCCAAAATCTGTGTAATCCTTACAGTCTGTAGTGATTGAATGAATGTGGTCTAGCACTTCCCACCTACAGTGTCTTCACATTTAGATTATTTGATAATTTATGCTGTATGGACCAATTTCAGGTTTCTAAACATTTCGTTTACTGAAACCCCCATTTTGAATTTCAAGGTAACAGAAATAGACGACGTTATCTATTGTGTGATTTCAGGGCCTGTCATACTACAAGGCCACCATACTTTGGAGAAGGGGATCGAGTTGATTATCACTTTATCTCTCAAGAAGTTTTTGATGAAATGCTCAACATGGTAAGGAAGTTTTTCCTTTATTTTTATTGTACAAGTAATATGTGTTCTAGTTCAGAAATGTTAGGAAATAGTGATTTTTTTTAAAAAGGGAAAAGTTAAATTTTGTACTTGTAAATCTCTTTTGAGTTGAAATACTTTTGTTTTTGTTTTTTATTTTTACTGAAACCCTGGTAATCTAGTCATTGGTAGTAATGCTCAGCACCTTTGTCTCTGAATTCACTTTTAAAAGGCCAATTTATTTATTTTTTCTTGGCCTTCATTCAGAAAGGTAGTCCCCAGGATCCTAGGATGTTTGATCAATTGAAAGTATGTGCAAATGTCAGTACATACCCACTCATGACCTCAGTTAAACTGAGTGTCTCATATCTTCATCACTACTAATGAATCTGTAAATTTCCTGCTTTTTCTTCACCCTCAGCCTCATTTTTGTTTATGTTATCTTTCTTCCTATTGCCAAGTGAATCCCACACTACCGCTTTTTCTGCTAAAGACTTCTTGAAGGGCCAGATAGGGGGCTGATCTGTTTCTGCCTTTGAAAGGTCACCATCCAGCCAGTGACACTGACAACTCTATCCTCCCTCTCCTCTGTCCCCTTCTCTTTCCTCCCTCTAGTCTTTGTCTTCACCCTGGCTTGTACCCTCAGGGTGCATCATCAGGGATCATTTAAGCATCATGGAGCATTTAAGCTCTGCAGCTTCCCGTAGTTCAGTCTGAAGGACCAAATCTGCACCTTGTGTACTTCCAAGACTTTTGCACTCACACAGACACAGCGGTGAGAATGCTCTACACTCCCGGAGCAGTTTCTCCTCTACTGTTGTCAAAAGGACATCATGGTCATTATAGTTTTCTTCCTAAGGGCTCTGTTTTGGGAATTAGCTGGATTTATTGAGTATTCTGGAATTTCATATTTCTAAAAGCCTTAATAGAGATTGGAGGAGCTATCTTGATGGTGCTAAGAACCACTCTCTTAAGACTCTTTGAACAAGGTTGGGCACATTCAGGATGGTATGGCTACTGGCTCTTTCAAGACTCTTCAGGTTGAAAGACAACTGGTTTCCAAAGTTATTATTAGTTTTTCCTGGTAGCCTTGGAGGTATTTTCCTGTTGGTTGGGTTCACTGTTGTTGAGTACCCCACCTGCTGCTCTGATGTACCACATCGTACGATGTTGGAAATCAAGTGAGTCTGGTTCAGTTCCTAGTCTAACAAATCACTATACTTCCATGTTATATTTAGCCTTGTAGTTTTACACTCTTTATAAAAATCCCCATGTGTTTGAGAAGTATTCATTTTTACTGTTTCTGCTAACATATATTACTTTAATATACGGTAATTTTCTTCTACTTGAATTTTGCATCTGAGCTTCAACATGAGTGTGAGACTATTTCTTGAGGAGATAAACCTAGAGATTATAGATGCGTGACACATTGTCAGATGCACCAGTCACACCCACACACTCGTCCCTGTGCATGTAGATGCCTCTACACACCCACAGCTCCCACCCGGACAGCGTGGCCTACTTCGACAGACATCCTGGCCTGCCACCCCCCCAACACCCACTGTGGACAGTTACACATACCTGCTGTGACAGGCATAGCATATGACCTGCACCCTCCCGTATCCACAGGCCTCCTCCAATTGATGCCTTCCCCAACCTACAGATCATTCCTGCATGTGCCCCACAGGTGCCTGAACACTTTTTACAGGTGTATATGCAATCCTTATGCATAGAAATGCTCTCTGCATTGGGGAAATGAAAGCATAGACCTGGAAATTTTTAAAGTATGACTATTGTTATTGGAAATACACATGCAGCAAGAAATGAAAGGATTATTACAGCCAAAACAAGGAAACTACTTCATCTCAATGCTTAACAAATCAATTTAATGGGGTTAGATAGATACATAGGTAGATAGATAGATAATACAAGATATCTCCCAACTCTGTGTCCATCCAGAAAATGTTTTAGGGATCTACAGAAGAATGGCCTTGTACACACAAGTAAGCCAACGCATATCTGAAAAGTAGTTCAGATCTCTATACATTTTGAAAACAGGGTGCCAGAGTACTAGCCAGGTTTTTCCGCAGAAACAGTACCAATAGGGTGTATGGATGTATATAGAAAGAGATAATAAAAGGGCTCAGCTCATCCGGTTACAGAGATTGGCATGCCCAAAGCTGCAGTGTGGGTCTGCTCACCTGTGGTCCCAGGAAAGTGGATGGTGCAGATGAAGTCCATAGCCTGACCTTTTTGTCCCATGCACGTCTTCCCCTGATTAGTGAAGCCCACTTACATTGTGGAGGGCAATCTGCTGCACTGTTCACCAATTTAAATGTTAATCTCATCCTCAGACATCCTCCAAGTTGACACATAAAATTAACCGTCACACACTCTAAAAAATAAAGCATGTGTACTTGGAAGGAGAGCTAGATAGCCAGGGTTAGGGCTAGGGATATACATATATAATATCCACGTATATATTTTATATATATGTATATATATGGAAAAGGAATCATAGTATTTTTTTCTAAAGAACAAAGTACGATATTGAAGAAGTACAGTTTTAAGAGTTGTTTTAAGTTTTTGCCTTTGGAAATACTTAACAGAAACTTCTTTTGATTGTGGGGTGGTGTGGATTTTCCTCATTGCCCGCAGGAGGCACATCTCCCAGAGACCCAGCCAATCCCAAGAGACATCCTGTGACTCTTGCTCAACACCTTTCCCGTGACAGATTGCCCATCCTCCGTCTGCACACATCTCCAGAACATCTGGGCCCAGGAGGGTAGCAATAGACTCTTAACTACTTGGTATTCTTAATGATGTTGCTGCCCTTTGGCGAGATTCAGTGCAGCCCTGGAAGGTCTTGCTACATTATTTGCTTTAAAATTAGAAATATCAGAAATCGCACTTACTGAGGTCATCCACATTTCCTTCTGTTGTCATCTGCTTCTCAGTTTAGATTAGACCTAGTGGTTTAATAAATATAATATTGTCAAAGAAAAAGTCACAAGCAATTTTGAGATAACTTGTTTTTATTCGCATGTTTTGCAGGGGAGTACAGCTGTTGGAAGAACTGCGATTCTGTAATACAGAGGGGATGCTATTATTGTTCAGATGACTAGGGCAGGCAACAAGTCTGCTGAATAATATTTGGAAAAGTTTCAGTAAAAAGCTGTCTTACGAGGAAAAACATGGTCAACCTATTTTTTAAAGCATTGAGAATGTCCATGTGTATCATAGCCTCCAGGAATTATCTGTAGCTCACGGTTATCTTGGTGTACAAGGCTTTGGGAAATGGGAACCTTTTCTGGACTACCTGGTGTTGGCAGAGCTGAAATGGTGGAGGCAAAGAGCAGGCTATTAGTTTCACTGTGGGTAGGTAGTCCAAATGGTCTATTGTACAGTAAGATTCAGTCCTCACCCCTCCTCTAATTTTTTTGCCAACAGATTATTTCCATAAACCTATTTTTTGTCAGCTGAGGATCCTGAGTAAATCTCTCTATCACAATTTGGTATTCAGTTCATAACCATGTTATCATTTTGTCATTCTTACAGTTGCTAATATTTGTTAAAAATAAGAGATCAAGTTATTTTACTTATACCAAATTTCACTGTGGGTGCTGTTACCTGAAAATCTTCATACTTTTCAAATTCTAGGGGAAATTCATTCTAACATTTAATTATGGCAACTACAGTTATGGATTAAATAGGGACACCGTAGAAGGTATCGCAAGAGATGGGTTAGCAAGCTGTATCCATATGGAAATAGAAGTAAGTGTTTTTTATTCAGTTCATTGTGTGTGTGTGTGTGTGTGTGTGTGTGTGTAAAGTTAGATCTACAATGTGTAGACAGCACAGTGCTAGGCACAAGAGAAATTCATTCCAGAGCGTGAAGTATTAATTTATAATTAGTGTGGGGCAGACAAGACGTGAAGAGTTAAGTGACAGAATTTAGATCACAGTTTAAGAAATTGTATATGTAGTGAGTAAAATGGCCATTCAAGATTTATTTTCTTTCATTTCATTCATCACTAAATGATCCCTTTTCCTTTTCACAGTGTGGTCTCTGTTTATCCGAGGTGATGTCAGATAAAGCCTGATCTGGGCAGTGCATGCACTTGGTTCCCTGTCCCTTCAGGAGCAGTCAGGCACCCTTGTGCTTTTGCTCTTCATGGGAAATGTGTGGGCTCTGCTGTCATTTGATTCCAGTTGCTCACAGTGTTATATCTTTTATACTTCCAGCAATTTAGAGTTGGAGGTTTCAGGAGATTTTTCTCTTTCAACCCCCCCAAAAAACCTTGTGAAATTAGAACATAAATAAATTTTTCCAAAATTAAGATCCAGAGTTAAATCATGAATTTTTCACTCACCTTTTTTTTTTTAGAAATATATATATATTTATAGCTTTATTCAAATACTTAAAATCTTCAGAGATGGTTGTTTTCACAAGTACTTTCCCTGAGCATTATAACACTTTTATAATAAAGATAATTCAAGTAGATCAGACTTAAAGAAAACATAACCTAGGCAAGTCTGGTATTCTTTTCCTATTAACTCTGAATCTTTCAGCATTATCCTCTGTAACTTCACAGAGCAAGAGACTAAATTCTAATCTGCTCCTAGAACTGGTTTAATTCTTCTCTAGTTTCCACTGAATGCATTACATTTCCTCCAGCCTTTAAATCTTTTGCACAAACCTTCCATTTCTTTCCGCAGTTGATTGGTTTTGTATCCTTAAGAGGGGGTTTCGTTTGTTTCTGTGTTAATTAGTTTTTAAAAAGACTTACTAATTTTTTTTCCTGGACAAAACAGAAACAAAAACTAATGCATTTTTGAGCGGAAAAACACTCCATCTTTTTGTGTCTACCTTTTTTTCCACTTCAACAGTTATCTGAGTGATGGTTCCTGTTTTACTTTATTCCTCCTTGAGAGCTTTGTGCTACTCATTTTCAGGAGGTCGAGTCTATAAACCATGTTTTATTCCCTTGGTTCTGTCCAGCTGAAGTTATTTTTTCCAAACTGCCTTTACTAGTGACTCTTCCAGAAACTGTTTTAAAAAAAGCCTGTATTTCTTCCTACTGAATTTTTAAAGCAAAGATTTTGAGCTTGAGCTAAACTGATGATGATGGAAATGGGATAGAAGGGATTGCAAAATCCATTTTTACCAACTTGTTCATTTTACCCACCAGGAAACTGAAGCGCAGAGAGCTTGGGGGATTTGTGGAGAGCCTATAGGAACTGGAGAGTAGTGGTCACAAACCAAGCTTTCCATGTTTGCAGACTAGCACCTTACATGGATAGCTTCAGACTGTGACTTCCTGGTTAGTAGGTTCCCATAAATTTGGTCTTCACAGTTCTCTCTGGACAGAGGCTGTGAGATGTCCTTGGAACCACCCCAACCAGGTGACTAGTTTAGGAAGAGGAAGGGTCCCACGGTGATCACTGAGGCATAACAAAGGAGCTTTTTCTCCCTGGTAACATCTCCTTGTGCTCCAGTGATGCCTTATGAAGTATAGCATTGAAATTATCTTTTGGTAATAAAGTAGCAGTACTTGATATAAATGTACCTGTTTTATATCCAGCAATTTTCTTTTTTAACAGTTATATTCATTAGCATGATTAATTAGAGAACAACCAGGTAGAATGAATTCTAATATTTGCAGTGACAATTTAATATTTGATGAAGAGAGAAAAGTACTCCAAGTTTGAAATATTTATAGGAAAATAGTGACTAATTCTACAGACAAAATAAATTATTCAATATAATACTACTTATTTTACCTATGTTGTCAGATGTGTCCAAAATGATTTCAAAATCATGTGTCTGTTTCCAACTCATTATCTTTCCTTTAAACACCTAGGGTGTAAGAAGTTTGAAATATTCCTATTTTGAGCCTCGATATATCTTGGTGATACCCATGAATAAGGAGAACTATGAGGGATACTTGCGGAGAAAAGGATTATTCAGTCGTGCAGAAATTGAAATTGCCGTCTCCAGAGTGGACCTTTACATTAAAATTAATCAGAAATTTCCAGGTTATTTTGATGCAGTAATCAATGCAGGTCAGTAACTCTTAGCAGAGTTTTACTTTTGATACCTGGGGTTACTGGAATAAAAGTTTATTTCATGGAAATAAAACGTTAGGGGAAAATACTGTTGTAACCGTCAGTTACAAAGAACTGAAAAAAGGGTTAAAATACACAGGATCTAACCTTCTAGTTTTAATCAAAGTATTTATTATTCTAAAAGACCTTTACTAATAAGAGTTAGAATAAAATGGGCCAGAAATAGGTTCCTTCCTGAGGGATATGGTAAGAATAAAGTTAGATAATATATAATTTGAAGCAGACATTTAAATTTGTAGGAAGATGTATGAAACTGAAGCAGTTTTTATCATAATCTACCTATAGTTAAAAATTGAATTACTAAAAATATGACCACAAAAATGCAATGTAAAGCAAACATTTTAAAAAATAACTTAGAAATGGCTACTTACTTGAAGTCAGTGGAAGAATTTCTTGAAATATGGAAACTTCTACATGTTTTAATATCTATAAAACAGAATGAGAAAACACTGTACATAGATAAGAAACTATTTTTAAATCATACTGATTCTTTAAAAATCCAAATTCACAATCATAGGTGCCATCATTTATGTAAGAAATTATGTTATTATGTTTTCATGTATTCCTATAGGAAAATATTACTGAAAGAATTCTCAAAAAATTACTGATTACCTTTTTGATAGGGGACTGGAGAGATGGGGAATTAAATGGAATCATATGAAATTGCTGATATTCAACTTTTTTGACCTATAAAGACAACAATTTCATATAGCTCAAATTAATACTTTTTGGCTTTGAAACTTATTAGGGTGTTGCATATTCATATTGGATTTTTATTGTTGCATAGAAATGATCACACTTAGTGGCTTAAAATAATGCCCATTTGTTAGGGCACAGTTTCGGGTTAAGAGTCTAGTACAGTGCAGTGGGCTGTCTCGGGTTACAGGGTGTCAGGAGGGAGAGGTGATGGTGTCAGCGGGGCTGAGTTCTCCTCTAAAAGTGCTGGGGAAAAAGTCTACTCCAAAGTTTAATCTTGTTGCAGAATGCAGTTTCCTGTGGTTGTAGGAATAAGGGCCCCGTTTGCTGGTTGCCTGTCTGCCAAAGGTTGCCTTTAGTCTGCGGCGGCCACTCCCAAGGTCTTTTCTGCGTGGTGCCTGCCATCTTCCAGCCATCTTCATGGCACGTGCAATCCTCCTTGTGCCTGGAGTCTCTGACTTTGGCTTCTGCCAACAGCTAGAGAAAACCTGCTCCTTTAATGGGACTCATATGATTAGAGTGGACCCCCTCAGATAATCTCCCTGTTAACTAACTCAAACTCATGAGTAACCTTATTTGCATCTACAAAAATCCCATATAATGTAGCATAGTCACAGCAGTGACGTCTCATTAGCTCCACAGCTTCTACCCAGGCTTAAGGGCAGAAGATTATACAAAAGTGAAATGACATTTGGGTGATCTTAATTCTGCCGACCACAATATTCATAAAATTAAAAATAGTGGCTAAGTTGGTACCACCAGCTGTTGAGCATAGAGTGTATTTTGACATGATCCTGTTGTATTAAAGTAAATCTCTCATTTACTGTAGATGATCTGGATGTTGCCTACCAAAAGCTGAGTCAGCTCATTAGGGAATACCTGGGATTGGCTGAAGAACCTGCCAAGGGTCTGACTCCAACTGCAGGTACTGTATCATCTCCCTATGTGGGTTTTTTTTTTTTTCATGGAAAAAGTGCCAGTCTGTGAGTTATTATTTGAGTACTTGTCAGCCGGGTTAGAGCTGGTTCTAAGTCTTTACTGCCTGTTCTCCTGGGGTGATTGTTCCCACAAACAAACCATACCAATCAGCTCTGTAGATCTGTCCATAACTTTGCTTGTCTTCACGGCTGTGTTGGAATTCAGAGACATGCAGGGCAATCCCTTGGAAGGGTGCGGTAGACAGCATTAGTCTCGTGGTTTACAGTTCATTCTTCTAAAAGCTTATTCCCTTATAGGGATGAGGTGTGGTTCTATTCATCAGGTTTAGATTTAGTCCAAGAGTTTTCTTTCCCCGTTGAGGAGTTGCCCATGCCTTAAAATGCTGCCCTGCAGGATACAGTGGAAAGCGCACTGGCCAGATAACCCTGGTGCTGGCCCTTCTGTTCCCTTGGGCAAATTTCTTATCCGGTCTGAGTTTCAATTTTTCTGTACTGCTAAATGGACTTCTGGCTACTCCTGCCCCCACCTCATGGAGCAGGAGCAGCAAATGATGTAGGATTTAAGAGTGCATCCCATTGGAATATGGGATTCCTAGGCTTAGGAGTTTGGTACACAAGTTTTTTTTTTACTGATGTACTTTGTATTAGTACATGTTTGCAGTACATACTGATTACACTTATCATGAGGAGTTTGTGCATGTACATAGCACAGTTCTTTTTTTGTCCCTTTCCCCTCCCATCCCTTCTCATTCCTTCTAACTCTTAATCCTCTTCCCATTTGAAAAAGCTCTATTTCCGTTTTCTTCTTTCTCTTTTTTAAAAATCCTTTTTCCCAAATAGAATAGAGGGTTGTGTTCCATCTGTAAAGTGGGGGGGCCTCAAATTATGGACCTATTAGTGTATCTGTTCAACTGTGCTCTGATTCTGTGTGCCAGGCACCAATTCTTTACAAAGCTATGACTACTAAGTAGAATAGTGCAGTGTACCTAATGAGGGTTCCGTGATTGCATAGAACTTTCTCTTGAGGAAAGCTGGCTCCCATTGCTTTAATTCTTTGTTATCCAAGCAACCTTCTGATCTTTAATTTGGTCCTCTGGGTGGACCTACCCCTGTGAGAATTATACCTTACGTTAGAACACCCTACCCTGCTCCCTGAGCCCTACTCACCTCCCATTGTAAATCAATAAATTGGCATGCTGGTTTTTACATCACCCTCCTGTGGTTTTGAATAAACATGAGTCAGTCCCCAGAGCCCAACCAGTCTGAGTAGCTGAAAATGTATATTTCTATAGCAATGCTCTGAACAGAAGTGCATGAAAAAGACTTAGCTTAAACAGCTAGCAGGAACTCCATCTCTTTATTCTATATCTTTCTTTGTTCTACAACAATCAGGAATATTGACTATTGGATGCAGTTGCCATTTGGCAAATTAATAGACCAGATAATGTGTGCATAGAAATATGGACTCCCATTTTAAAAGAGTATAATAAAACTTTATTTATATGGCTAATTAGGTTAGGGCTGTTTGATTTAATGAAAGATATGAGTTATAGAATTTATAAAATTTATAACTCTCAGATACATTTACTGACTGAACCTGAACCATCTAGGTATTGACTAATAGAATTCCAGCTTGAAAAGTAGATAAGAAGCATTGCAGTTAATATATCAAATTACTAGCTTCCACAGACCTTTGCTTTCCTGGCAGGCTTGATATTTTGGAAAATAACATGTTTTCTTAAGCCAAACACTTTATCTTGTTTATACAGTTAATTTGCAGAGGTAGTTATGTTTTGTAGTTGACAGTTTAAGAATAAGCTTGCACAGAAAGTGATATTGTGGAGGCCAGCCATTAGTCAAGTGAGTATTTAAAATATCCTAAAGAAACATAGTCCTTAGTATTGTTTTTATCACTTCATAACCAAAGAAGTAGAATCAAAGGCTTCTCTGAGTTTCAGACCCAAACTCTGTGCCAAGGTGTGTGTACCAGATATTTATAGGTGCAGTGCAGGAGAATGAGGCCCAACCATAATTACCTATGAAAAAGTCCAGACTCCCTGAGAAAGGGCTCAGGATGCACAGAGCCACGGTTCTTGGTCTAGCTGGTGACTCCCTCTTTGCCTCTTCTATGAGCGGGGTCACTTAGATACTAAGGTCTAGGATTCAGGTATATTTACACAAATACTTACAGTACTTATTAGTACTTACATAAGTGAAACCTCTCAAAATTAAAAAAAATAATTTTAATATAGTGGAATTGTTTTATTTAAACAATTCAGCTTTCAAGGAAAGAAATTGAAATAAAAATATTTATGACTCTATGAAAAATTGTTTGGCCTGAGAAATGAGAAAACTAAACTGGAAATATGAAACCTTACTTTTCTACTCTAAACATAACCAATAGTCACTAATTTGCTTCAAGAAATGATTTTGGAAATCAGTTTTTTCTTGAAAAAAGAAAACACTATTACAGGACGTCATTAGGATGTAGCGTTCCAGAGGTGAGGTTTTCCCCAGTTGGACTAAGCCGTCTGTGTGTTTAGGCTTTGATACAAACACTTTTTATGACCAGCATCATCTTTCTGAAAGCAGTAATCCTATGTCAAAGCAAACCAGAGATAATCCTCAAATATATGAAATAATGATGCAAAGCTTTATCCTTGGTAATTAGAGCTTGCTAGTTTGTAACTGAGAATGTAAGGCAACTGTAATTTCTACTCTTAACAATGAGAGTCTAACAAGGGATAAAAGTAAGCCCCAAGGTCTATCACTTTGGTACACAGCATCTGTCAGCCTAAATCCAGAAATGTGAACCTTCACCAGTGGACATATTAATTTAATTTTCACTTAATGAATGTATAAAATAGTAGCTTTAGGCACAGAGTGCTGGTTAACTAATGAGCCCTTTAGCTGTACCGTTCATGTAAAGTGCACACCAGTTTAGGTGTGGGATTGTCTTATTTTTTCTTCTGTAGTAAAACAGGTAGTATTTGTTTCTAAAGCACGAGGACCTAAAAAAGAGCCGGACCAAACAATACAGTTTCTATAAAATAAAGAAAACCTCACTATTTTCACAACTCATCATAAGAGACGTCTTTCTCTTTGTCTCTAGACAACCTATTTCTGGGATAGTCTGTGCTTCCAATAAAGGTTCTAGAAAGCTATCACCCTGAGTTCTTGCTGTAAAGACCATAAAATGAAATTATATTTGCAAATCACGGTTAAGAATCCTGACTAATGGTGGAAAAAATGTTGATATTAATGAGAAGGCAAGCAGAGGAAAACTGAACATTTTACAAGTGCATAAAATGGTGCCCTTATCTTTAATAAAGGGCACAATATCATTTGGCAAATTATATGTGTTGTTAAATAGTGAAAGTAGGAAAATAAGTGTGTCTGTAGAAAATGAGAGGGATTAAGGGAAAAACCTTCATACTTGGGTTTCACTCTTCTTATATTTTTCTATCTTTAAGTTGTAAAAAATCATGTACATATACACACATATACATAAATGCATACGTGTGTATTGTGCATGCATGTCTGTACCTATTATATGTATGTATGAGTTGCCACTTCATCTATATTAAATGTATAATTCAGTGACATCAGTTATATTCTCAATGTTGTGTAACCACCACCACTACCTATTTGTAAAATTTTTCCTTATCCATTGGTTCCCGGTACCGGAGAAAAACCAAAAAAAAAAAAAAATTTTTTTTTCATTATCCAAAACAGAAACTTTGTACACCCAATACCTGACAACCTGTGATCTGCTTTCTGTTCTCTGTGAATTTGCCCATTTACGATGTTTCCACTGTTTTATATTTTAGTTTAACCTTGATTCTTATCTAAAGTAGCATTTTAATTTATACTTGTACAAACTGGGAGATAAGAATGATGGGGCTGGGGATTTAGCTCAGCGACACAGCACCTGCCTGGCAAGCGCGAGGTCATGAGTTTGATTCCCGGTACTGGAAAAAAGCAAAAAACTAAAAAAAAAGAATGATGAACTGGGCATGTGCCCAGAAACCCTACCAAGGAGGCAGCTTTTCCTTGTTCCCACTTGTCCCCTCTCCCTCCAAGGGGACATGCGGTTTGACTGGATGCAGAGAGGGTCCAGACCAGAAGGCTGGTTCAGGGTCAGCTCAGAGTAGTGCAAGCCTGTCTTGTTTCAGGGGGCAGGGAATGGCTGGTAGGAGTGTAGTTTGCTGCTGGGGACAAACCACTCTGGGGAGGTCTTATTTCATTTAGAATCTCTGAGCGTCTCCTCCAAAGTGAGCCAAGATTCTTTCTTCAAGGCTATTCCACCTCTGATACGAAACATTTCACCGTGTTTTTAGGGCTGTGTTAAGATGATAATTAGGTCACCAACCTATATGAGGGCTTCTATCAGGCAAGTGCCTGTTGGAGTGATTGTGTCCATGAAGCCACAGTCACTCTGAGAGCTTGTTCTCATGGTGATAGAAGGAAGCAATGCTTCTCTGCAGTATCAACATCACTAGTGGCCTCAGAGAACCATCTTTGAAGCCAGAGCAGACCATGGGAAAAGGGCTGCTGTGGAGATCAGAGTGGGGGTGGGGTGGCACCTCCAACTGTAGGTTCTCAGAAGCAGCTTCTCTGAGCCATACTGCCTTGTAATTTCACTGGACCCATTCTTTCCTCCCTTCTTCATTCATCACTATTTATTGAATTCCTGCTGAACTTCATACCCTTTACTAAGCATTGGTAAACAGATGTGACATCTCACAGAATTCAAAAATTACTTCAGGGGACCACCATGAACCAAGGAAACCAGTGGGACCTCATTTGGCCTAGATGCCCATCTTCTAGTTTTTACAGTCAAAACAGTATTGATCTGTAGAGTAGTGAAAAATTGAAATCTCATGTATGTGAAAAATTTCCTCAATACCCACAGACAGTCCCAAGCTTAGTTCTGTGCATGTTTTAAGTTGACTAAAATTGTTCTAAGGTCTATTAAATACAAGAATTGTAGGTAATTATTATCCCAAGGAGAAGGGAAGGTTATGTTCTCTCCTGTATGTGATTTTTTCTTTTTATTTAAGGTCTATGTGCACCACAAAAGAGAAAGACATCTTTAGTAGTTAATTCCTAGATAGTGGAGACTGCATTTAGCTAACTTGTTTTTATATTAAAGCAGGAGTCCCCTGTAGCAAGAAGACTGTCTCTGGGGTACCAGCACACCTGGTTCCCTCCCCTAGACGCCTGGCGAAACTGCAAGCAGATGGCCAGATAACAGAGCATCTCTCCGGGCAGGTTCATGTAAAGGTCCCTGAAAATCAGAACCCACCTCCCTCCCAGAACCAAGAGCTGGCCCAGGAGGAAGAAACCCAGAAGAAAGAGCTGATTCCCACTAGCTTCGTCTCTTCAGAGCCTACCCAGCAGCCCAGCTCACCCACACTTGATATTCCTCAGCAAACCCAGGACTTGTCCCCGCACCCAATGGAAGAGGATGCGCCACAGTCAGATCTTTCTCCAAAAATAACAACCACCGAGGCAGATGTCTCTGGAAGCAAGGCCCAGCTCTTGGAGGTGGAAGCCGATGGAGGAGAGCAGTCTTCAACCACTGATTCCTACATCCCACCTCATCACCCTGAGCCTCCTGCACCCCACAGGCCTCATTCAGACCAGGATGAGGAATCAGGGGAGGCCAGGGTAGCTCCCAGCAGTGCTCCCCCATCTGAACCTCCGCAGGGCCTAGCTTCTCTCAACCCTCAGGAAATCCAGGATGCAGAGACTGAGTCCTCCAAACCCCCACCCAACAGTTCCCACCAGGATCCTGCAGAAGCTCCGTCCCACCCTGACTCAGTGAAGAAGCTTGATGGAGACTCTCAACCACCTCTGAAGGAGGAAACCCCCAAGGCAGGAGCAGCCCGCGTCAGCACTCCTTACCCTGAACTGCCGCCTCCCAGAGACTCATTCACTAATGTGAAACAGACCCAGGACATGGAACACCCAGTGGCTTTGCTCTCCAGAAGCCGGCTGGCTCCTACCAGGCTGCCCCAGCCGCAGACCCTCGCACCCCTGCAGAGCAGGAGGCCCACCCCCAAGCTCCTCTCACCCAGCAGAGAAGCGGCTGCCAGAACAAGCTCCGATCAAACCATGACGTCTTCTCCCAGGCCTCTCCCCACTCAGGAAGCAGACCCCGGGAAACTTCCTGCCGTCAGTCCTCCCCATTCCAAACTGCCCTCAAGTCTGAGCCCCCACGCTGCCCACACTCCTCAGCAAGTCCAGGAGGAAAAAGTCGGTGAGGTGACACTCCCTCTCATCAGTGCTCCCGTCCAGGAGCAAGGACCGCCGCACATCCCCAGTGCGTCCCAGGAGGGTGCTCCGACTATCAGGCTCCCTCGGATTCCTACTCCCTTCGCTGAACCACAGCTACCTGGGGCCATGGGAGCTCACCCTAATCCAAAGCCTGCAGAGGAAAGGAAGACACCCAAAGCAGGCCATCCCTCCAGCAAGAAGATCCCCAATATGCAGGCCTCACCCCAAAGCCAAAAACCCATGCAGCATAAAGGAGCTAGGAAAAAAAAACTCCCTCTCCAAAGAGACACAGATAGAGGGCCAGCACATCAGAGGAAGGCACCACCTGGAGGCCCACAGCTGACGGTGCAGCTGGAGTCCCCTTGCAAGCCAGCTCCCACAAAGATCCCTGACCATCCCAACCCCAGTCCTTCTCCAAGCCCCCAGGGGCACCAGAGGCAACAAGTCCACCTGCCAGGAATTTCTGAGCTACCCCACACTGACCCACAACCCAAAGACCCCCAATCACAGGAAGAGAAAAGGGAAAAAACACATCATTCCAGAAAAAAGGCCCAGCCTAATCTGCCCCCAAATGAATCCAAAAAAGGACCATCTTTGAAAAGAGATGTTTCTCAAGGATTATCTAAAGAAAATGAAACTGCCTTCAGTGGAGACCAACCAGTTCAAGAGGGTCAGCCTGCACAGAAGAGACCCCTACAGAGTGAAAAGGACCCTACCGAGTCATTACAGGGCCACCCTGATCCTGTGGAGCATACAGAGAGGAGAGACCAGCTCCACACAAAGGAAAGGCGTCAGAAGAGAGAAATTGTGTTGGAACCCCGAGAGAAAAAGAGCGTGTCCTATAAAGGCACCCGTCAGATCAGAGAGAGCTCTGTCCAAAGGCATAGTGCGTCTGCTTCCAAGCCACAAACCAAAGACAAACGAACCCGAAAACATAGGGGCGTAGCGCAAGACAGAAGCATCGCTGCTCCCCAGGGTCAGGTGTCTGCCGAGGAGCTGGGCAGCCGGACAGAACGACTGCGAGCTAGGGGCAGTCAGAGCACCACGGTGTGAGTCCTTCCTGGAGCCACTAGGTTGTTAAAGTCTGTTATCCCCCAGATGAAAAACTATGACGAGGCTACTCTGAGTTACACATTGGCTTCCTTCTGCAACCACAGGTCACCTCAGTGAGGGACCCACCCATGATGGCCAGCCAGCAAGGGCCCACCTTTGTCCCTCTGTGCCTGCTGTACAGCTCACCATTGTGGTGGGAAGAGCAGCTTTTGCAAAGGGAGGCAGCAGCAGGAGGAGACAGTGAGGTCAGTTGCTGCCAACCAACAGGCCTGTTCTGAAGGCAATATCAGCAAGGAGCCTTTGTGTCTAGACATAAATAAATTCCAACAGCAGCTCCAACTCTGGCTGGAGCAGAGCCAAATTGCCACTCAGGTTTGCATTAGGAAAATCCACTTCTAGATTAGAAAATGTTCTCATGCCTGAACAAAAAGAATTCTGCAAAAGTTCTGTTTCTGGAGATTCCCAACCTACAGTTAATTTAACTTCCATAGGGAAAAGATTACATCTTTGCATGCACGACGCTGATCAAGCACTTCAGATTGGTGTTGGCATATGTTATCTGGAACTTATTTTTGTTTGAAATGTATTTCAGAATGAATACCTTCCTTCTCTCTTTGAACAGGAGTCTCATGTAAATTAGCCCATGCCTTCATTATGATAAACCATCTGGTTGAATCGGTTGGAAGAATTAATGGGAGGAAAATTCAGGTGAATCAGTTTTTCATTTCTCTATTCATGAATATTCTATTCTGTTGCTGGCAAATGACAGGAGACCAACCAGGGCTGGCTCATGTAAATCTTTTCACAAGCAACCAAGCTCTGGGGAGGGTAAGAATGCAGCAGATTCTCAGGGAGCTAGAGGACCAGTTACTGAACATTGCCAGGATTCTTGCCATTTGCAGGATGCTTGTCATCTTCCAGACTCTTGTCTACGGCTCGCATCATTTCTCATCTCTGATTCTTCCGCCTTTGTTGGCTTCATTCTGTGGACTACAGATGACCATGTGCCCATTTCTATACATGGCAGGGAATATGGCTGCCAACGGGTCTCAAGTTTACATCTGCATTTACTTCTGAAAATTCTCACTACCCTAAAGGATCTAATTGGAATGTTCCTTGGTCCTAAGATTTACAAACAAACAGACAAACAAAAAAACAAGGACCGACTGATTGGCCTAGCTTGGATCAGGCCTTCATTTGTAAAACAATCTACTGTGGCCAGCACGGGGTTGCCTCTGGATATAATCAATCCATTGAGTCTACTCCTGTGAATGGAGACAACATTCCAGAAAAGAAAATAGCTATGAACAAAACATCCAACCCAAGGTTCATAAGAAGTTATGTCTACTGAGTATTTGCTGTGTATACAGGCAATGTGCTAATCTGTGTTTGGTATTCTATATTTTAAAAATGTAACTGATAACAGGATGACTGTATGGATGCATCTTGTCTTACATAAGGGATGTGTGTCCATAAAAAGCTGTATGAATATCAAATGTTATTTTTAGAGCAGTAGAGGAAATTGATATTTTAAAAAAATCTAGGACATAGGAATCTTCTCCTAAAAAGAATATCCGAGCCGGGGTGTGGTGGCGCACGCCTGTAATCCCAGCACTCAGGAGGCTGAGGCAGGAGGATCGTTACGAGTTTGAGACCAGCCTGGGCTACAAAGTGAGCTCAAGGCCAGCCTGAACTGCACAGTGAGACTCTGTCTCAAAAAGACAAAAACAAAACAAAACAAAGAAAAACTAAAATGAGAATATCCTTTACCTATGTATGTTAATAATTGTCTTCTGATCTTTTTTTATCTAAAATGAAAGTTAGAGGGTGATTTTCTAAAAGCATACCACAATTGTGTTTATTGGGTCATTAATCCAGTAAGCATTTACTGAGCATTTCCTGTGTGCCATTCTATGATAGTTGCTAGGTACAGTGAAATGATCAGGACTCTTCAAGGAAGAAAAAGAAGTTCATACTGCCATGTAATTAGGGCAACTGGAGGCCTTGCAGCAGGCTAAGCTAATATTTGGCATCCCATAGACAATAAGACTCACTTATTTACTTTTCCAAACTAGATACCACAGAAAGACACTGAATTCAGCCTGATATAAGAGAATTATCTCAGGAAACACTTTCCACAGAAGGTCATCGCCGTTCAGCTGAGTCTTCCCCCAGGTTGCAGGACTGGCAGACTGATGGGAAGGGAATGTTCTCTTAGAAGAGGGAACAGCATATGCCCAAGTAAACACGGAGGTACAAGCAGCTGTCATGTTCAGGGCATCCAAATCGCCAGAGAGCTGTAGCTTTGTGTAGATCCAAAGGGCCTTTTGTGCCATGTTCAGGAGACTGGAAACTTGATTTTGTAACAGGGGATCCCTGAATGATTAAATTTGTGTCTTAAAGGCATCTTTCTGGAGGTGGTGTAAGGAACAAAGCTAAGGAAGGCAGCTAGAGGCAGGAAGAATGGCTGGCAGGCTATGGCAGTCATTGGTAAGGTGGCTGCAGGAAGGGCCAGTCCTAGGTTGGATGTGTCTAGCTTGGGTGTGAGGAAGGGTAGGATATGAGCTGTACTGGGACACATTAGAGGTGCCAATGTCTCATGTAGATGAACTTTAGAGATTTTGTCCTCTTTGGCATCTGGCTTTTTTTTTTTTTTTCCAGTACTGAGAATCGAACTCAGAACCTTGTACTTGCCAAACAGGTGCTTGTGCCACTGAGTTATATCCCCAGCCCTGGCATCTGTTTTTGAGGCATTTGGACTGGCATTTTCATTACTGTTTGAACAGGAAGCACTGAGCACATTTTTTCATCCGACTCAGTAGAAATGCAAACCTCCCTCCCCTCTTTCTCTGGAAATCATAAGGCCAATAGTTTTTTTGTTTGTGTTGTTATTTTGATAGTATAACTTGTTGCTAAATTCAGTGCAGCTGGACATTTTGTTTGTGGTCCAAGGAAGGGAATAAAAAAATTGTTAACTTGCCTCTAGTGAGAGGATTTTACTGATGTTAATTGATTAATGTAAGGGAAATCTCTAATCTTCAATGTAGAATATAAATATTTAAATAGCATTTACATTAACAAGCAAAATTCACATCACTTCCTCTAGATATGTTTCTCAACAAAATGATCTTTAGCGGGAAAAAAAACATTGTGGATTTAAAGTCACAATACTAACAATTTAGTCTTCAGCTTCTGAAGCCTGGTACGTAGGATTGAAGGCAGTAAGAGACAGTAGTTCCACCGGGTGTCACAGTTTTCTTCAAATATTTAAAGACCTAAATCAATTATTTTCAAAACCTTAAAGGATAAGTAGAGAAAGGAATGATTGAGTCACAAAAGAGGAAGTGAAAATGTCCAGTTATTTTGTCAAAAAGTAACCTCGTTATGTTAAAACAGAGTAGACTTTTTTTGGAAACCAAGTTGTCAAATGTGAGAACAGGTTAATGTCTGTGTTAGTGAGCTTTCTGTGTCATCAGTGAGAAAGTAAATTGTTAGACCTTTTTGACAGTTTTCCAGTTTCTGTCAAAGACCTAAAACTTTGTGTACTTTTAAGCTAGTAGTTTAAAACCAGCAATTATCATGAGGAAATCATTATGTGCATGGATATACATACCAAATTTTTATATAAAATCTCAAAATAATCTAGTTATCTAATGGGATTTTTAAAACAAGTTATGGTTCAGCCATATGCTAGAGTGCTGTGTTGTCATTGTAACCATGTTGTCGAATATTTTCTTAGAGGAAAATATTCATGACATAATAAGGAGAAAGCAGGTTAAGGAGGTATAGCCAGTCTGGCTCCAATTGTTAGCTCTGGGTTGTTAGATTAGGGGAAATTTTTATTTTCTCATTTATGCTTTATAGCATTTTCTACAATCAATCTAAGTTTACTCAGAAAAAGTAAATAGAATTAAATTGACACACTCTCTGAAGAGCTGTCCTGTAAGAGCAGCAGCCTTATAGTCCATTTCAATTTGGCATAATAAAGAACTTTCCAGAAGTCAGAGGGGATTTATACAGAAACAAACAGGCTTTTTCTAGAAGCTAGATGCACTGTTACAGGAATCTTTTAAAAAGTCTCCATATGTTGGGTGATTTATTGGACTGGATGATATTTAAATTTCTTTTTATGATCTCTGAGCCATTTATTACAACTGGCTCAACTTGCTGGCTATGAAGAACCTAGCTGTCTGTTTTATTAAATACAGTGCTTAGTAGTAGAAAGTTGCACACATTTAGTATTCATTAGATCATCAGCTTTCAAAGATTTGGACCAAGATCCATAACTAGAAATACATTTTACAATATCATGACCCAGTAAACACACACATACATAGCAACATAAAATACTCTTATCCATGGTGATACACTATTTTCTGTGGAGTTGAGTTTTAATTTTCCAAATGCAGATTGTGACCTACTAAATTGATTTCACAACTTAGCTTGCAACCTCCAGTTTGAAAAGTCCTGCACTGAGCACTGTGGAGCTTTACTATGGTGCCACCCTTGAAGGTCACCTCCCTGCTCTGGCAGGCTTCAGGTGAGTTTGAGTGGCTCAGCCTCATTTATGACGATTTCTTCTCTGAGACAAGGAGCTGAGGTACTGGCAGCTGTGTCCCTTGTCAATATTGGGGCTCCAGATGAGCCTATACAAAATTTATATGCATAGTAATAAGTTCTTATATAGTAGATAAAAAGTACTTCAAAGCCAATAGTATTTAGCAAACCTCCTTGCCTTTGCTCCATGGCAGCCCTGAACATAATCTTTCTACCATGAAAGATCCTCCAAATTTCACTTCAGATAACTTCACTATTGATCTAGTATCTGGCATAATATTTCCATAAATAAATTTAACTGCTTTGTTTAATTTGAAAGATGTTACTTCTAAAAATGACTTTCCCGTATTGACCATGCCATTCAGAGAAGAGGAAAGGAAGGGCCTGCCCCTTATTGACAATGATAATAGAAAAATAATGTTAAAGATCAACCCTGTAATCTTAAATCTAAATAAGAGAGCAAGGTCATGAACAGTAAAAGCTGATGACATTTTATTAAAAATTGTAACCTTATAAATATCTGATTGCATATAACACAAACGCAAAATAACCCTTGGAAATTCTGCTTTTACTATAGTTTAATGTGAACTTGGGTGATTTATTAGGTTCTTATGGGTAAATTGGAGATAATAATAGTACCTGCCTCAGGATTGCTGTGAGGATTAGTGAGTTAATATATTGAAAAGTACCCAGAACAATGCCTGGCACATAATATGTGGTTAGATGAGTGTTTGTTGTATTAGCATATAAGCAATGGGAAAAAACACTGCATTTTATCATTAGTTGGAATAGGACAATACTGTCTGTTCAAACTAGGAATTATTGAGTAAATGAGATGGGCTTCTTTGACAGTCCTTCTAAAAACTTTGACAACCAAGTTGAATTAAGGGCCTCAAACAAAATTAGAATAATGGTAGTTCAGCAAAAGTTTACTAAGATTAAGAGGTTCTTCAGTAGGCAT